TGTGCTAGTACGTCTGCTCCTCCAGGTGCTTGTGAGTCTGCTGCCCCAGGTGCTGGTGAGTCTGCTCTCTCAGGTACCACGTCGTCTCAGGGTTTACACACCTTCAACCTTTACTCAGGTGCTTCCCGCTCCTTCTTTCGAGACCGCACAACACTCACACCGCTTAGTCGGCCGGTTGCAGTCTCCCTGGCAGACCCCTCTGGGGGTCCTTTCCTTGCCCACTTCTCCACTGTCTTACCGTGTCCGGTGGCCCCCTCTGGCTCCCTGTCAGGCCTTTAACTCCCCTCGTTCTCTACGAACTTGGTGAGTGGTGCTGACCTACAGGACGCAGGGGTTGACCAGTTCACTCCTGCGCGTCAGCGAGTGACCCACTGTACGTGTGCTCGGACGGGCCGACACTTGGCCACGTTTACTCGTCAGCCGGGGTCGAGCCTGTACACACTGACTGCTGAGTCTCCTCAGGTAGCTGCGTCGAGTCAGGTGTTTGCTACAACGTCCAGGTCTGGTCCTGAGTCTGCCCCCTGCTCGTGTCGTCTCCTGTCTCACCAGACTCTCCTCTGGCACCACCGCCTTGGTCACCCCTCCCTGCCTCGTCTCCGAGGCATGGCCTCTCGTTTCCTTGTCTCGGGTCTCCCCCGGTCCCTCCCTTCTCTTCCTCCGGGACCTGGCCCCACCTGCGTTCCCTGCGTCGAGGGGCGGCAGCGCGCCGCTCCTCACTCCTCCGAGTTTCCTCCGACAGAGGTTCCGCTGCAGACGCATCACATGGACGTGTGGGGCCCAGCCCGCGTCCGTGGACAGGGTCACGAGCGTTACTTCCTGCTGGTGGTTGACGACTACTTGAGTTACACCACAGTCTTCCCCTTGCGCAGCAAAGGTGAGGTGACTGAGGTGTTGATCGACTGGATCCGCGCAGCTCGTCTCCAGCTGAGAGAGAGTTTCGGCTCGGACTTTCCTGTACTGCGTCTGCACTGCGACAGAGGCGGAGAGTTTTCCTCTGACCTTTGCGAGCCTTCTGACGTGCACAGGGCATCCGCCAGACGTTGACGCTTCTTGCCTCTCCCCAGCAAAATGGGATTGCTGAGCGCCGCATTGGCATAGTCATGGACGTTGCTCGTACGTCCATGATCCATGCCGCTGCTCCCCATTTTCTGTGGCCGTTCGCGGTTCGGTACGCGACGCATCAGATCAACCTTCAGCCCCGGGTCTCCTTGCCGGAGACCTCCCCTACTCTGCGGTGGACGGGGAAGGTTGGCGATGCATCTGCATTTCGCGTCTGGGGATCTCTGGCCTTTGTCCGCGACTTGTCTGCGGACAAGCTGTCCCCCCGTGCTGTTCTCTGCGTCTTCCTTGACTTCCCCCCTGACGCGCCTGGTTGGCAGTTTTACCACAACACCTCGCGCCGTGCCCTGTCTTCCCAGGACGTCACCTTTGACGAGTCGGTACCCTTCTACCGTCTCTTCCCCTACCGCACTGCCCCGCTCCCCCCTCCGCCGCTCTTCCTCACGCCAAGTGCTGCCTTGGTAGACCCCTTGCCTCCCCAGGTTCCTGCTCCCTCAGGTGTTTCTGAGGTAGACCCGGTCGAGCCTGTTGAGGTAGCTGTCAACTCTGGTCCTGCGCGAGGTACTGCGCATGCTGAGCCTGCGGGTGCTGAGCCTGGGGGTGCAGAGACTGCGGGTGCTGAGCCTGGGGGTGCAGAGACTGTGGGTGCTCAGCCTGGGGATGCTGAGACTGTGGGTGCTGAGCGTGGGGGTGCAGAGACTGCCGGTGCTGAGCCTAGGGGAGCTCTCTCTTCCCAGCAGCTACGTGAGTGGTACTCTCGGTACTGTCGCCGCCGCCGTGGTGCTGTGGGAGCAGGAGGTGCTACTGGAGCTGGAGGTACTACTGAAACTGGAGCTGAGGGCGCTGAGCCTACTGGAGTTGGTGTTGCTGCTCACCCTGGGGTTGGCGCTGGAGGTGCTGGGGCCATTGGTCATGGAGGTGCTCGTCCTGGCGGTACTGGAGCTGCTGGGACTGGGGGTGCTACCGGAGCCGTTGGCGCTGGTCCTGCTGGTGCTGCTGGAGGTACTGGAGCTGCTGGACTTGGAGGTGCTCCTAGTGCTGGAGCTACTGGCGGTGCTGGAGCTGGCGGTCCTGCTGGTGCGGGCGCTGGAGGTGCTTCTGGCGCTGGTTCTTCTGAGGGTGCTGGAGTTGGCGCTGCTGGAGCTGGTGGTGCTGCTGGTGTTGGCGCTGGAGGTACTGCTGGCGCTAGTGCTTCTGAGGGTGCTGCATTTGGCGCCGCTGGAGCTGGAGGTGCTACTGGTATTGGAGCTGGCGGTGCTGCTGGCGCCGGTGCTCCTGAGGGTGCTGGAGTTGGCGCTGCTGGAGCCGGAGGTGCTACTGACGCTGGTGCTGCCGCTAGGGGTACTGGTGCTGTCCCTGCTGTTTCTGGAGTCGCTGCGTGGCCGCGGCCGTACTTCGTTCCGCTCCTTCAGCAGGTTCTTGGTCTCCCGCCTTCTACTGGTCCTCCTCCTCCCTTAGAGTGTCCACAGCCTGTCCCGTCGCTGTTACAGTTACAGCTCGCCTCCCCACTGCCTGCTCCTCCCTACACTGGTCCTACTGGAGGTCTTGCTAAGCGTCGTGAGCCTGCGTCTCGTACTGCATCGCCTGTCCGTGCTACTCGCACTGGTAGTCGTGTTCCGCGTCCGCGTCCTCCTCCTGTCCCCGGTACGCACCGGATGTCTCTGCGTCCCTCCACTGCTCCACAGCGTGTCCCTCTGCCGTCTCCTCCTGAGTCCTCTCTTCCTGCTCTTGCTGAACCTGTGTCTGACTCTCTTCGTGCTGCCAGTCCTACTGTTACGCGTCTCCTTGCCACTGCTGTCACTGACCCTTCGTTTGAGTCTGCTGCTGCATCTGCTCTAGTTGCTGAGCTTGTCGACTTTGCTGCTCGCTGTCGTCTAGACTACGCTGCCAGTCTGATCGCTGAGTCTGAGTCTCTCTGTCCTCCGTCTCTCGGGGGTGAGTGTGCTCTGAGCACGGACGTCCTTGAGGACAGGCAGGAGGAGCTCCATTGTTTGGCTGCTGCTTCACCTCATCTCGTGTCCGTGCTGCTTACCCCTGAGGAAGACCCGGATGCGCCAAACATCCCGACTCCGCGCTCCTACGCGGAGGCGATAGAGGGTCCTTACTCCTCTCAGTGGCAGGCAACCATGGATGCAGAGACGGCTTCCTGGAAGTCCACTGGCACTTACGTCGACGATGTTCCCCCACCTGGGGCGAACATTGTCAGTGGCATGTGGATTTTCAGGGTGAAGCGGCCGCCGGGTTCTCCGCCTGTCTTCAAGGCGCGTTACGTGGCTCGAGGCTTCAGTCAGCGGCAAGGACTTGACTACTTTCAGCCCTTCTCTCCCACCCCGAAGATGACCACTCTTCGGGTACTGCTGCACATAGCCGCTCAGCACGACTACGAGCTTCACTCTCTTGACTTCAGCACTCCTTTCTTGCAGGGCAGCCTGCACGAGGAGATCTGGCTGCGCCGCCCTCCTGGCTTCTGTGGGTCATTTCCTCCTGGTACCCAGTGGAGCCTTAGGCAGCCAGTCTACGGTCTCCGCTAGGCACCTCGTGAGTGGCACGACACACTGAGGACTACACTTGCGGCTCTTGGGTTTGCTCCTTCTACTGCCGACCCGTCGCTGTTTCTGCGCACCGACACCTCTTTGCCGCCGTTCTACATCCTCGTGTACGTCGACGACTTGGTCTTTGCCACTGCTGACACTGCTGGACTTGCCCACGTGAAGTCCGAGCTGTAGAAGAGACACACGTGCACAGACCTGGGTGAACTGCTCAGCTACCTTGGCTTGCAGATCACCCGGGACAAAGCACAGCGCACCATTACCCTGATTCAGTCACACATGGTGCAGCAGGTCCTTCAACGCTTCGGCTTTACGTACTCCTCGCCTCAGGCCACTCCTCTGTCTACTCGCCACTCGCTCTTAGCTCTGCCTTCGGATGAGTCCGTAGAGTCGAGTGGCCCATACCTAGAGCTTGTTGGCTGCCTCATGTACCTGATGACCTGCACACGTCTTGACCTTGCATACCCTCTTAGCATTCTCGCACACTATGTTGCTCCTGGGAGACACAGACCGGAGCACATGGCTGCAGCGAAGAGGGTGTTGCGCTACTTGTGCAGTACGTCGGGCATGGGGCTAGTGCTTGGAGGGCGCAGTCCAGTGGTCCTCACAAGGCACGCGGACGCTTCTTGGGCTGACGACCAGGCTACGCAGCGGTCGTCACAGGGTTACACCTTCAGCCTTGGTTCCGGCTCTGTTTCGTGGCGGGCTACCCGCTCGTCTTCTGTTCTCGGCTCCAGTTGTGAGGCTGAGATCTACGCCGCGGCTATGGCTGCTCAGGAGCTTCGCTGGCTCACCTACCTGCTGACTGACCTCGGAGAGCCGCCTCGTTCTCCTCCAGTGCTGTACGTAGACAACAAGGCCATGCTGGCCTTGTGTCGGGAGCACAGACTGGAGCACAGAACGAAGCACATTGCTCTTCGCTACTTCCTTGCTCGCGAGCTACAGCAGCGTGGTCAGCTGCGCCTTGCTTACGTGGCCTCTCAGGCCAACATTGCTGATATCTTCACCAAGGCACTCGCGCCTTGTGATCATCAGCGCTTCTGCACTCTGTTAGGTCTTGTGCCTACTTTGCCTCACTTGCTCACTTCTTGACCTTGCTTGTACTGTGATCTATCTATACCTGCCCTTGCTTGTTTACCTTATATAATCTTGCTTCTGAACTGGCCTTGTGGCCCTAAACTTGTGCTCAGATTGTGTGGTGACGTTGTGATCCACCCTGAGCTTGTTGTGCTTTGCTTGACTGGTCTTGTGACCTCTTGTTCTCCCCCACTTTGCCTATGGGGGTGTGTCAAGTTTTTATGCTATAGTCTATCTAGGCTGTAGTGGGGTAGACTACATGGGGTACAACTCTTTTAGGTTTTCATACTTGTACCCACCATCCTACTAGTTCACTCATTCCTCCACTCTTTCACACGTCGCCGCCGCAACCGCCGCCGCTGCCGCCTTAACCGCCGCCGCCGCAACCGCCGCCGCAACCGCCGCCGCAACCGCCACCGCAACCGCCGCCGCCGCCGCCGCCTCCTCCTCCTCCTCCTCCTCCTCCTCCTCCTCCTCCTCCTCCTCCTCCTCCTCCTCCTCCTCCTCCTCCTCCTCCTCCTCCTCATCCTTCTCCTCCTCCTCCTCCTCCTCCTCCTCCTCCTCCTCCTCCTCCTCCTCCTCCTCCTCCTCCTCCTCCTCCCCCCGCGACTCTTTCCCCTCCCCCTCCTCCTCCTCACCCCCTGCTTGCACCTCCTCTGCCCCTTCCCTCTTCCCCACTGCCTTCTCCTCCCAATCCTCCTTCCTTTCGTGCTCCTGGAGCATCACTTTCTGCTACGGAGCTTGTTTTCCTGCTCTTGAAGCTTCACATGCTCCGCCAAGCCAGCAAGTTCCGCTCGAAGCTGCTCCTTCTCACCCTGCAGGTCCACGACCTGGCCTCTGGATGCCTCATACGCAACGAGCGCCTTCTGCAGCTCCACCCGCAGCTCCTTGCTCACCCGCTCCAACCACCCCACCTTGTCCGCCTGCACCTGCTGCTGCTTCTCTAGCTCGCGTACCTTTGCTGCATTGGAAGGTTTCAGGGAAACACAGTTGTTACAAGAGAACGCAGCCTCAACGACCAGCACATATTAGGGTTGGCTGCGTCCTACCTGACTGACATTGGCTCACATACAACTCGCGAACGAACAAGGAACAGCTTGCAAAGTGCGCGCTCTAGCTCAAAGCTGCGTAGGAGTAGGTACCTCTGAGCTGGGCGTTCCCCTTGCGCAGGCGACGATTCTCCTTGGCCATGGCAGCGGGGTCGTTATCGCCTTCTGCCCTCGGCTCGCTCACAACTTCAGCATCGTTGCGCGGCACCAGCTTTGCACGCTGGGTGGCGAACTCGAGGACCTTAATGTCAGGATTCGCCGCCGCTCCTACTACTACGGTCCGCAGATCCACTGCCGATCGGTGACGTTCGAGAGCCATGGCGTCGTCGTGAAAGAAGGTGGAAGTTGAAATTGTAGCGAGTGAAAGAATGATAAACTACTTTGAGCTTGAAAGAGTGAAGTGACACTCATGCGTGGTAGCCTTAAATATCTACGGCTGCTCGGGAAGAAAAAAATAAACGGAATGGTCAAGCGCGACGGTGCGACGGCATTCAATCGTTGCGTCAGGTGGAGTCGCATGTTCGTTAAATTACACAGTAAGTGCGACAGGAAGCAAAGCATGGTGGGAAAGGCCCGTTGAATTACACAGTAAGCGCGGCGTGAAGCAGAGTCGGCCGCGGGGTGAAACAGAGTTGGCGGGAAGGGCTGTGTAATTCATTGTCAGTAAACAGGCCAACTCTGTCACCGTTTACTGTCACCGTTTACTGTGACAGTAAACACAGGGTGAAGCAGAGTTGGCGGGAAGGGCCCGCTGAATTACACAGTAAACGCGGGGTGAAGCAGAGTTGGCGGGAAAGGTTGAACAGCAGGTAACCATGCAAGTTTCGCCTCAACATTTTTCGTTTTCGTCTACGCCGCCTATGACGGAGGTTGAAGAGCAAGTTTGGAGGATGAAGAGCAAGTCTGGAGGATGAAGACGAAGGTTGGGGGATTTCGCACTATAGAATCATTGCCTGCTAGAAGACAGGACAAAGACAGTGAAGACACTTTGTTAGTAAATATGCTGTAGATTGTTGTATCTTTCACAGACTTCACTGTGACCGTGAATTCACCATATTTGTTCATTCACATGGTTGCGTTTCCCATTTGTGATCATGGTTATTCTTATTGCTCTACCATGTTTGAAATTTCCATGTCTTACAAATCGCAATCATTGTCAAATATGAAAAGATGTGCATAATTACTGGTCATAATTTGGTCACACCTGTTGTGTTACGATCAGAAGGTGATCGACCCTAGGATCTCCTCAGGAAGGTTCGCAAGCAACTGAGTAGTGGTGGTGGGCCCTTGATCTCAATAGCAGAGTGAATGTAAAATGCTTGAGATAATTAAAACATGCAAATACAAAGATACGACAAATATGAGTACAGGGGGAATACGAATTGACCTAGCCAGCCATGTACTCTAAGGGGTACATTCCCTTATTCAATTTCATTCCCAAACGTGCGGCGCGTACGGTTACGAAACTGTTCCCGCCAAATTCCTCTTTCCTGCAGATGTCCGACAGTCCAGTTCCATTCCAACCGTGTGTGTCGCTTCGAGTCAACTCTGACTCCTCGTATTCATCCTCGTTACCTTGTACAAAGGTATTTCACTATTCGTAACACCCCCCTTCACTACTGGCCGTAGCTCGACCTAACCTGCTTGACTACTCCGCTGAGTTCGGAGCAGTGCTGGTACTACTGGCGTGGCAGTCATTTCGTGAGGAAGTCCGCTACCATGTCACCTGTCTGGCAATAGGTCAAGTCAACCTTGCTTTTGTCCACTTCGTCCTTAACGAAGAAGTACCGCAGCGGAATGTGCTTGGTGCGGTTGACGAAGCCAGGTTTGTTCGCGGTGTGGATCTTGCTCTGGTTGTCGCAGTGAAGGCGAAAGGTGGGCGAAGTTGGAATTTTCGCCTCTTGCAGAAGTTCCTGTAAGTAGAGGCCTTCGCGAATTGCTGCTGTTGCTGTGATGAATTCCGCTTCGGCCGATGACAGGGCAACCAGCTCCTGTTTCTGCGAGTTCCACGAGATTGGTCTCGTCGTGTGAGAGTACGACGGCTTATGCCAGCTATGCTTGCTTGCCTTTAATTTATTATGCTATTTCTAGCATAGGATAATCATATGCATGCATGAATTGCTTGATTTCCTATGCTAGGTGCTTTCCTATATTTTATTATAGTTATAGCACCGAGCTAGGTTGCATGCACCGAATTCCGGCTTTCGGTTGCCACCGAATTGCCTTCTACCGAATTCGGTAAGGATCTGTTCGGGACGCTTCGCGACCCGCGGAACCTTCGCGTAACACCTGGTTACGGGGCCTTGTGTCGAGCGTATATATAGCCTCGTGTTGTACCCAGGTGATCAATCAATTCACATTCTCTTTTCTGAGCTCGATCCTAGATCCTCACACGTCGGTTCGAGCCGGAACAAGAAGCCAGTCCTGGACCGTCGATTTTCGGGATTTGCTGCATGATCAGCGTCCACGTAGCTGATGAGGTTGAATGACAGAGTCGGCACTGTTGAGTAGCATAGTCCAATCTTGGGCGTTGAAACGAAGAACTGTAGGGCACGCTGCAGATCCAGAAGGTTCTCAGCCATTGGTTTGCGAGAGTACTGAGCCAGTTGGCTCGCAATGTAGGATAGGTCGAGCCTGCAGGTAATAGAGGCAAAGAGCAGGCATCCTAATTGCTGCTGATTAGTCTGAATGCTAGGGGGGGATAGGGCTTTGTTGTCAGGTTTGTGGTTCGGTTCAGGAGTTCGGTAGGGAGTGGAGAGTGGTGCAGGCGAAATGTTGAAGCGTTTCCCAAGCTCCTCTGCATACTTAGCCGCTGAGAGGTGAATGGCTTCTAACGCGTAGGAGATGTTGAGTCCTAAGAAGTGCTTCACTTCGTAGTTGCAGGTGATGTCGACGCGCCCCGCCAGACTCCTCTCGAACTGCTCCAGTAGTTCATTGCTTGATCCTGTGCAAAGCAGGTCGTCAACGTAGACCGTGAGTAAGATGTACTTGCCGCGGAAATCACGGCGGCACATCCCTGGGTCGTGAGGCACCTGCTTGAACCCGATTTCAAGCAGAATGTTGTGTAAATATTGCTCCCATAGCCTTGGAGCTTGTTTGATCCCGTAGTGGGATTTTCGCAGCTGGCAAACGCGAGAATCCCTTTCACCGTACATGTGCGGTTGCTCCACGCGGATCACGGTGTCCACTAACGCGTAGAAGAACGCGTTCTCCGTGTCGATTTGGCGCAGGGGCAGGTGCCTTGCGGTTGCGATGGCGAACAGGATTCGGACGGAGGTGTGACAGCTGACCGTTGCAAACGTCTGGTCAAAGTCGATGCCATGCTGGTCATAGCCTCGTACCACCTAACACGCCTTGAAGCGCTCAATCGTTCCGTCTGTTGCGGTTTTGACGCGGAAGACCCACTTGCCCGAGAGGACCCTTGCACCTTTGATTGCTGCGCGGTCGACCAGCACCCAAGTGTCTCGGGATTCGAGCGCTTTAATTTTCGCGCCCATTGCTTCGCGCCACTCCTTGTTGTGTGGTCCAGTGAGGGCTAGGCGCGGGTTTCTTGGCTCGATGACACGTGACGCCTTTGAAATTGCGGTGTGGAGTCCGGGCAGTTGCAGCCCAGAGACGGTGCTGTCATGGCGATGCTGCGGGACAACTTCCTGCACGTCGTCGTCATCGCTTTCTGGCTCAGGTGGTGCTGATGGCGCTGCGGCTCTCCCCCTTCCTCCCGTTCCGCCCATTCCTCCTACAGAGGAATCGTCATCGTCATCGTCGCTGTTGTGGCGATCTCCACTTGTGAACTCGCCCCTTGTGTCCTGCTCTAGGATTGCTGCAGCGGCTTTGTCCTTGGGTGCTGCGTAGCCGTGCCCGTCATTCGCCTAAACGCGTTTTGCGTTTGTCTGCTCGTCATGGCGGAACTGCTCAAGGAAGAGCCGTTCGTAGAGGATGACGTCGCAAGCATGTGTGGTCTTATGGCTGAGCAGGTCCAGCACGATCCACGCCTTGTACTCGTGACTGATGCCGAGGTGAATGCCCCATCGCGCGCGGCTAGCAAATTTGCCGATGGTTGACGTCGGTGGGTGGTACTGCACCATGCACCCCCATACGCGGAGCATGGAGGTGTCTCCTTTCGTCCCAGTCCACTTCACGTGTGGCGACAAATTGCCCGTGATAGCTGTTGTCGAGAGCAGGTTGTGCACTCGCACTGCATGGTGCATCGCGTAAGTCCAGTAGATCGGTGGCAGTTTCGATTGCTTCATCAGCGCCCACACCTTTGTCATGAGCGTGCAGTTCGTCCGCTCGGCTACGCCCTGCTGCTGGTGCGTGTAGGGGAGAGAGATCTGATCCTCGATCCCCTTTTGTGCCAAGTAATCCTGTAACTCCTTACTCCTGAACTCCGCATCGTCGTCAGATTGCCAAATTTTCAGCTTCTCCCCAGACTGCCGCTGCGCGTGTGCTAGCCAGAGGCGGAACACTTCGTATGCTCTGCTGCGAGCTTCCACGTTCACGGCCCACACATAGCGTGTTCCAGCATCGATGAAGGTGAGCGTGTATAGCTCGTCGTTGACTCCGCAGTGCCCCACGTTCAGGAAATCACTGTACACTTTGTGTAGCTTGGGGTAGCAATTACTCTCTGGCTCGAGCAGCGGGAGTGGCTGGTGGCTTAGCGCCGCTTCGGGGCAGATGTTGCGCGGATCTGTTGCGCCTCTCACTTCGGTGCCGTCTGAGCGCAGGAGTGCGCCAGGAGCGAAAACTCCTGCGCCAATGCAATTTTTCAGCGTCTCGCGTGAAGGGTGTCCGAGGCGCTGGCGCCAGAGCGCATCGTCAGCGCAAAAACTGGAGGTGCGCATGTAGCGCGCGCGAGCTTCTTCGGGGTCTTCATAAGGTACATGGGTAGGTTCTACTGCTGCTTCGTCAGGTACAGGGGTAGGGTCTTCTGTTGCTTCGTCTTCGTCGTTGGCGGTGGTTAACATTAGCGCCAAGAACTCTCTGTCGCGGATTTCGGAGAGAGAGGTGTTGGTCCCAGGGATGGTTCATCGGACGAAGGTGGGTTCGCGCGGTTTGGGAGCAAGTCCGTAAACAGTGCGGCGCGGGGTTGACGGTTCGTTGCCCCAGTCAATGGTGTCCTAGGGGTCGCGATGCGGCGGTATTTTAGGTGGAGGTAACACGGGCAGAACATGGCGTGGGGGGCGACCAAGGGTAACAACTGCGCGATACGCCTCAGCTTCTTCTCCCCCCTTTTGTTCTTCGTAGGAGGTCCCCAAACTGCTGCCTTCGACTTCAGATGCTATGCCCCAGCCGCCGCTTGCGGTTGCCCAGGTACCGCCA